CGCAAGGTTATCTTAGAAATGGGTTCAGATGGTGAGAAACTCGGCCCTAATTCTAATAACGAGCGCGCACCGTCAGGGAGGGTTATGCCTCCTAGCTCGCTCAACCTTGAATTTCTTTGCACATTACCTATCCTAATGTGATCTGTTTGATGTTTTTTAGCGATATTTTTGTGCGCCATTGAAGCTGTATTATGTGATTTACTCAAAAGGTTCTCGAACTTTCTTCGCAAAGCTACTTTAGCATTAGACCTAATAGAGTTGCAAATCAACACTGACCCGCCCACTATTCTCCTCCAGAGGTGGTCCTCCAAATATTGAGCACAAAAGTTTTCCTTCGTCTCGCACTTCTTCCACTTGGCGAACATCTGGTTTTGTCGGCTTCGTAGACAAGTGCGAAGTATTCGCAATTCGACGTCCAATACTCGGTGACTGTCCTCTGGTAGACAGCACACGTCGTGTAGTCGTCTTCGTTTGATGAAGTTCGGAACGACTTGATGTTTCAGACAGCGGCGGAGAAAGTGTATTGACTGTCGAGCTAAGACCATCTTTTGTCTCAGTGACAGCGCTTCTTTTACAAGTCGGAAGTATCTTGCTGGTACATCTTGCAGTAACTGCCACGACCGACTTTCTATTAACCTCGGCATTGATCAAGTGATTTTCTTCGTATTTTTGTTGAGCAAACGCGAGGTGTTATTATTCTTTGTTCACGATTAAGCTGACGTTTCGGCGGATTTCGCCTTCCTCAGAGCCTGGAAAGGTCAAGTTGATAGCTATCTACTCGGCCAGTCACCTCCATAGCCAAAGAAACTCTAAACCAAGATTTCAATCACTTTGAACACATCTTTGCACACTCACCGCTTTCTATGAGGTTTCCACTAAGTATGTCACGTAGAGACCAACCGCACAGAAATCACGTGGAAGTATAATGTGCCCCTCACATCAGAAAAGCAGTTTTATATACTGCCCTATATCACGCGTGATAATGAGGCATTCTTCCCTGCGGTTCATTTTCGGATTTCTGGAATTAATCCAGAGTGCCTCGAGAGTTTTTCGCGCCTGTGTTCTTGATTCGCGTGCGAGGATCGAATCCTTGTATCCTTGAATCCTTGAAGACCTTGTAAACACTCACAATGGTAGCTGTTTCATCGAATCGAACTAGCACCATGCTTTTGATGACGGCCGGCCGTGAGTTGTTCAGATTTTCATCTTCGTATTGTTTGTGTTATATTTACAAGGAAGTAGAGATGTGCTGAATAACAACCTCGCGATTGCTGTAAAAAAGAGAACAACAGATTTATTATTAAATGTCGAGGTTAATAGAAAGTCGATCTTGGGATCTGTTAAAACAATGGGTGTTTGAAAGAAGCTGTTTATTAAGCGAATAGAAATTTATGTGTTAAGTCTTATCTACTGGGTTATGAAAGTGATTGCGTGAGTAGTTTGCATGTCAGTTTAACTTTTCATGGGAAGACGAAACTGCCGAAACGTCAGCTATTGCGTGCTGTAAAAAAAAAGGATAAAGCTCTCGGCGTTGATCAATCTTTGAGGGATGCGCCATGCATTTGACTTTATTAAGCATCGTTTAGAAGTGATTGAATGCATATCTAGCCTTTACAATGACTCCCAGTGGCCTACCTAACCACTGCTGCTATCCTACTAGACAAATCTGGTAGTCTGGTAACAATTTGCTGACCCCGGAAGGACGGAAGGGTTGGAGGGCCATGAGCGCCGCGACCGATTCCATGTTTATGTTGTAGGGCGCCTCCGATCACTGCGCCACTCCGCCTTTGGGTGCTGATAAATCCTTTGCTAGCAATCTCGTGTTTGCTCATTGGAGAAAAACAATGAGTTATCTTTTTTCTTGTTCAGAGGATGATAAGCGTAGAGGCTACTTATGCGAGGAAACGCCCAACTTCTTATCTCTCCGGTTTCAGCAAATTGGCACCCAGAGCTGTCTCCCTGAACCTCACTCTGATCCACAACGTCAGAGACTACCTCTGTGACAAAGGCCTGAGAATAACCTGGTAGAACTATACCTTAATTCCAGGGAGGATCAATGCGGTATTCAACGACATTTACGAAAAAGAAAACTTGTGGTAACCGAACAAATCGTGTGGTAACAAACCGAACAAATGCAAATAGTAAGCTTCGTAAATAATGAGTATGATGCGATGAGCCAAATAAAAGAAGTATTGTGGTTCGCTCAGTATGTAAGATCACGTCATCATTTGAAAAAATTTTCTTCACCTTTCTCTGCTTCATCCTCGCAATATTTTACGACATTCTCATTGGAGGTGGAAAATGCTCCTCAGTATTTAACTACAGCGAAAGTCAAACGTTTATCATCTCAAGAGAAGATCAGCTAGGAATGACTTTGAATATCCATCCAGAATACTACCTGGGAGTATACCCGCATATCGTTAGCTACTTGTAGCTGATGCCCATTTAGAAGCTGAGCGGCTGGTAAACCGTTGCGAAAACAAAACGCAGCGCCTACCTGTGGATACCTTCTTGTTAAAGGGAATAATAAAAGTAGACGCAGGACTAAGCGTTTGATGCATAACGTGTCCCAGCGTGAGAGCGACTAAATTGTTTTAGTTGAGACATTGTGAATAGGGATTGTATTGGCGTCAATCGAGTTTTCTTTAGAGTTAAACGTTTATTACTTAGTAGTATACCTTAATTTTATTCGTCATGTGAAGAGCGAGGAATTTTTTTGCTGTGCTCAGCTTTCTTTTCGTATTACATCGTTCCATTTCTATTTTGCTTAGCGATATTCCAGGAAAGGTGTATAATATGGTAATCAATCTCAGAGCGAAGTGGCATGTCCCTATTCTTAACATCCTCACCAACACGAGCTTCTAAGTAAATGGCTTCCACTTCGATTTATTCGATGCTTTTTATAAACGAGGGTCGCTTGCTTTCTAGGTGCCAGAGTTGACCGTAAAAAATCCGTTAATCCACCGTACCTGGATGATCTGCATTCGCTAGCTTTCAGCCACTTTACTCATTGAATCAATTCAGTGCTCGTCAACGAGTAACCTTTTCTAGAAAAAAGCTATTTAGTCCATAATGAGAATGAAACAATAATAAGTTTTGAAAACGGCATCTTTTCTTCTTTTATTTAAACCGATAACAGCATCATATTTCTTTCCCGCTTTGTTCTTCTATGCCAGATGATCGACTTCCTGCCTTTTTTGAAATCGTTCGTTATTCGCTTCATTCGGGCATCTTCCAGATGAGCGTTACAGTTCTTCTTCTGACGACATTGGCGGTTATTTCTAATGGAGATGTCATTCGAACTGTTTTCTGTAGAAGGCAGTGCACAGATTATTTAAAGATTCCTGAGAATTTGATGCCGCTCTGTGCGCCCGAGCATTTACAACTCGTAGAGTGCGGAACTGGTTGGTAACATTTTTCTTATTGCTTTTCTCTTTTCATCTTTTTATGTTCTTTAGTCGTGGCGTTGGATAACGGCTTAAACTTTACGATAATGCCGTAATAAACAAAGGATAAAGCTCTCGGCGTTGATCAATCTCTGAGGGATGAACCATGCACTCAGTTTCATTAACCATCGTTGAAGGTGACTGAATGCATATCTGGCCTTTGCAATGACTCGCGGTGGCCTACCGATGTATCGAACCAGTGCTGTTATCTTCCCAGACCAAAGTCTGGTACCAATTTACCGATCTCGGAGGGAAGGAGGACTTGGTGGAGCATGGACGTGGAGATCAATTCCACTGTGTGTGTTGCAGTAGCGCCTCAAACCACTGCGCCACACGCGACCTAATGTAGTAATAGGGAAGAAAATAATACTTCTATCGCCAAGTCTTCATTTGTTTTTTCAATATTTAGTACTTACGAAGCGTTTTTTGGATTGATTTCTTTGAAAATCTGAAGCTTTGAATGATTTCTCACAGTCATTTTCAAGTGATCAGTTGTGATTGGGCTGAAGCCGATCGCGATAAAGTTCGACCGATGGCGAATTCGAGTGATTTCTCGTGCTGCTATCGAGCAGTCGTGGTAAGGTTTCGTTTTTCTTCACAGTTCTTAAAGTTGACAGCTATGAAAATTTCCATGCAATTTTCTGGAAGGCGAAACCAGTCCCTACAAAGATTTTTGTATTATTTCTTTCGACCCATCTTCACATCTACTGTGCGGATCCCTGCACTTCTCACATTCAATTCATTTCTCCACAACCATCTCCCACTAAGACCTCTTCCAAGTTTTACATATGGCTTCGGCTGTTGATTGAGAATTTTCGTGTAATCTTGAATGTTGTAAAATACTGTCGAGTTGATTCTCACTTACGTTCTGAGATAGCCGAGTTAGAGCGTTTTTACACTGATTGTATGCAGTGATCTTTTCTTTGGACAAGTCTGACACCCATTTTTTGACCCTAGAAGTGTGAGGGGCTTTGTGAAACCGGGTGTGGGATCGAACCAACACCGTGCTCGTAATGGTCAGCATCATTACCACTGTGCTCTCTGCTCTTTCCCTTGAATATTATTGTTTGCTATTTATTTTTACTTTCTTACTGCTGCTTATTTATTTTGTTTCGTCATGTTTCCACTATTTTAGTCACTTAACACATAACTGGTGCACTGATATCAATATGTATTCTTTACAACTGCTTGTCTTACCGCACCGAGTATACCTGCCACACTTTTCGCTTTCCCTTTATAACTTATGGAATGCAGGTGTTGTTTCACGCATGAAGCATTGTCTATAATTAGTAATTTTCGGAAAACCTTTTCAAGAGCGAGTTCTTAACCCACCTCTTTTCGGTTAGCCGTGTGTTTGTATTTTATATAAGCGACCTTTACTACTATGTTGATCTCAGCTCTTCGTTCCTTCCTTTTTTTCTCAAATCCGTCATCTACAAAAACGTTTTGACGTAGTCGTGGATTAGGCATTAGTTTGAGAGTAATTTATTTTTTAGAAATGTTGCTAAGTGCTTAACGAGCCTTGTTCTTACTGGAGTCCCAGAACGGCCCGAATTAGAAAATTTCCCAGTTCCTCATAAGAAGTACTCACCTCTCATCATGGATTTGAGATGTGCTGAGTCTTAGAGCGTTTAATAAACAACCATATGTCTTTGCAAAACTTTACTGACCTAAACTTACTAAATCGTGCTGTAGCTACTGATGGAATGATCAACGCTGCACTTGGTAAGAAGTCAGCAGCGAATGGTGACAGGTTCCAGCAAACCGAATTTTCGTACGTACCAATTTTGCTGTAGAATTTGCGATAACTGAAGCCCAAACGAATACTTACGTGCTTGGTTGCTTACATGGCTCACCGTCTCATGTGATGTTGATCCGAGCAATTCTCTTCCATTCGTTGTATTAGAACGGTTTCAGATGACATCAATAGTGTTAATGTGTTGATACTCGGCTGCAACATAATGGGCTGTACCATTCTTTTCCCTCTGATATGACCACCTCTGATGGAGTTTGGTTTCTGTTGGAATTCTGGAACAGTTGCGCTGTATAACCACAATGGTGTTAAGATATTTGCAAAATTCTGAACCGCAGATGTTTGCGGTGAGGTTCAAACACGCTATTACCCTTTTCCGGGAGCTAACACCTCCACCACCACACAGCTAATAGAAGGTGAAGTTAAAGACCCGCATGGTTCTGTGATGAACGCATTAGCCTCCGTAAAGGGTAATAACGTGTTCGATCCCCACCGCAGACACTTGTGGTTCTGAATTTTGAATATACTAGCATCACTGTGGTTATATTTTATATCATACCCTGCCATGAAAGAAGAATAGCGAGTTAACAAAAGCTGATTATACGGGTATGCCATCTTTTTTTCTCGGCATTCCTAGGTCCTCGCGAGAGGTGCTCGCTGATCTTTTCAAATTGGAGTGTTACTGGTCGTTTTAACAACAGGATTCTTTCAAAATGGCAAAGATCTCCACGATTCGTCGTCATCTTTCTAGAATAATTCTCGTTCTTTTTCCTCTGTCGTTGTTTCTCTGTTGTTTCTATAGTTTTAAAAATATGTTGCAAACAGTGTTAGAAAGTAATCCAAGGAAAAACCAGGCTGACAAATAACATTTCTGGATCCGTCATTGTTCCTGTACTTCTAAAAATATTCAGATGAGTAGGTTTTAAAGGTTAATTTTTTCTATTACTAAGAAGCTACTGATCTGGAAGCGAGCGATCATAATGTGTAATGGCAGACCAAGAAGTTGTAAGAAAACTATTGTTGATATTTGAATAGTTTGAAATTTCAGAAAGAGAAAGGAGACTGCGTCGAACAACTAGTGACAGAATCAGAGCCCGTACAGATGAATAAGGTCGCTTTTCTCTTCTTGTCGTTCAAATTTTTCCTTGTCATCCTTCGTTGTGTTTTTTTTTCTACCACAATTTTATATTTTCTTTCAGTCATTTGCCAACCATTGTGGATTTTATTTCTTCTCTTGGATTCTTTGCGTTATCTTTTTTACGATCATCATCGTTCAAGTGGGTTTTATTCTCCCTCTCCCTTCCACCTAATAGGCAGAAATGCGAAAAGAAAATTGCATATAAAGAACTGTAGGAAGGACAAAATACAAGTTAGGATTACAAATTTCCATTGGGGAATCGATTGCGATAAAAGACTGAAGGAATTTATCTTCAATTTTACTGTGATTGGATATACCCACTTTCCTTTTCATTTCTGTATCCTGTGTGAAAAACTTGATACGCTTCAATATAAAAATTGAAGTTCGTTCACAGCAGAAGCAATTAAGAAAAATTCTAGAAATCTCTGAGGATCTCTTTTAGAACAAAAAGCACCTAAGGAATGAATTTCTTCGACAATTTCGTCGACAAATTTCTTTGGTGTCTTATATCCTTCATATCCACTGTTTAGGCCCTGTACATTGTCATGCTACGAATTTCTGCTCCCAAACATTGGAAAGTTAGTCAGTCCGATGAGAAGAACTGTCATCAAGCTCTCGTAATGCATCCGCTCGTAGATATGCGACATTTCGACAACACCGTGTGTAGTGGACATCTTAGGGCGGACGAGTTGTCCACTGTCCGTGTGCCAAGTGCCTCCACCCGATTTCAGTGAAGAACGCCTTTTTCAACGAGTTATCACGTTTTTACGTACTTCTTGATCATAACTAACAACTTGTAGGAAATGGCTAAAAATCATTCGTATTTCATTCTTTTTTCTTTTCAAACAATTTTCCCTAGTATACTGAGCCATACAATGTGCCTGCAAGAACTGCAAACGCTGGATAACCCTAATTCCACAGTAAATATAATAGGTCAAATACATCTTACACATGTGGAAAAGATTTCTTGAATTTTTGCTTTAGTGCTCAATATTTTGGGTGCGTTCATTCTCATCCAGTATGTACGTTCCTTTGTTTACCAGGTTTCCATTGGAAGCACATTGCCTTTCGCGGGTTACTTTGTGAGGTTTGTGTGATCTCTTACATTTTCTAGAAAATAAGCAAACCAGAAAAGAATTGATTATTATTCGGTAAGAAGACCTAGAAGTGATCAATGTTGAGATAGCTATCGATGAGTTGTATTGTCTTTTGGCACTTATATATGATCCGTTTCTTCATAGAATAAACGACGTCTTAAAAACTTCTGTTTAAGACTGAACCAAGTTTGACTGTCTTCGTAAACGGATTGAGTTTTAAGTAACTAAAAGTGTTCACAATTGATTACCAGTAATTTTTTTCTTATGTACATGACGCAGCATCACTGTTCGGATTCGGATTACGTATTCGAACACTTCTTTTATTCGAGTCACTGTCTCGGATCCGCTACACGCTACGGACATCGGAATTGTACCTATGTAGAGCTCGCAGATGTTGTTTTCTTAATTGATGTTAATCAATGCTGGTTGAGTTGATTCTTCCTGCAATCCTGGGGAGTTTACCATGTCTTCATCATAGAGACAGTGGATCGTGATTCTCTGAGCGTAATATTTTTCGAGACCGACCTTCTTTCAACCTCGGGATTGACAATTAATTCAGGGTTTTCTTTTATTTTATGAGCAAACACGAGGTTGGTATTACAGCACTTATTAACGCACAATAGCTGACGTTTCGGCGGTTTCGCCTTCTGAGTCCAGATAGGTGGAATTTACACGCAATCTACTTAGCCAGACACTTTCATGACTTTAGCAGATAATACTTTACACTTAAATTTGGATTGGAATAATAAGCAGCTTCTTTTAAACACCAACTACTTTGTTGTTTGCAAGTCTTCAACTCAATTGGTGGAGACCAGTTGGACAGTGTATTATGTGAGGGAATAATGTGAATTAGTCAGGTCAGAGAATCAGCACGAGATACGGGTCTGGGTAAGGTGCGATCACAACACTCTTCTTAGCTGTTAATTTTTGGATTTTTGAACTTATCGAAAACACTTCAAAAGATTTATGCGCTGATGTTTTGGATTCCTGGGTGAGAAGACTGACTTTTTCAACCACAACGATGCTGAGATATTCGTAAAACTTGAATTACAGGGCTGATCAAACCACGATTACCCTTTCCGGGAGTTCGCGTATTACACACTGCTCCACGGAGGGCCATGCTCTGCGCTTCTCTTATATAATTTTCTACCTAACCCTGTCATCAGCAATCACCCTTTAGTGGGATTGATCTGGGGAGCACAAATCGGCATTGGGCCCAGTTAAGATGAGGCTGTAGTCGAAATAACAATGTTAGACATTTATTTCTACCTACTGTAATTTTACACGGCAGGGTATATGATGTGAGATGCAATCACAATGATGCTAAGGTATTTGTAAAACTCGAAGAAAACAAAAGGAATACATCTTACCCTGCCGTGAAAATTACAGTAGGCAGGAAATAAAAGGTTAACACTAATTGTTCCTTCAAAATTGTCGCTGCTATGCTTTTGTGTTCTATTCGCGCCAAGTAGAGTGTTTGGTTTCAATTTCGATTTGCCGACTAAGTGTTCATTTAGTCAGTCGCAGAGTGGTCTACTCTTTTTGCCTACACGTTCGTCCTCACACACTTTACAAGAGATTAGATACACCGTACCCGAACTCATGTGATCACCGTCGCTACCGTTAAGGCACATTATGCAGTTGGAATGTACTATGCAATCATCACATTTCCTTCTAGGGTCTTTGTTAAGAATTCCAACCATTCTGTGGAACGCATCATATGTGAGGCCTAGAATCCTCTGTCCAAGATGACTCGAGTGAAGAGTACATAGATGGCAGCCAGTAGGCAGATTGGATGATGGCTGCTGATGTCGTGGATGTCTCCATTTTTTAAGCAATAACATAGTTTCGCTGTTCCTATGTCGACTAATAACCTCCCACTACGACAGGCACCTTTTGAGCAGCAAAATCAGCGTGCTGCTGAGGTCTGGTGGAATGATCTCTAAACTTTCGATGCTTATCATACACTAACCAGGTGTTGTTTGATTCCTCACCCATGAGTTAACGTGACCGATTTCGGAGAGAGAACCGGTGCGACGATATCCATCCTGCTTTTTGAAGAGATCAGACTAATAGTCGAGAATGATTTTCTCCATTGCTTTTCTGGAAGCTGTAACTGGGACAAATGGAAATAGGAGTGCCATCATCTTGGTTTTGTAATTGGCGAGGTTCCAATGGGCTCTGCGAATGTTTTTCCCAACCTCTGCAGCACTGGCCACAGCTGCTACTGTTCTCGGCGTAAGATCTCTGTTATCGCCCTTTTCTAGCGGCTTTCAAACTACTTTACATTGAATGTGACGCGTTCCATCTTAAAATAAGTTTTCAAGGGTGTATCATTTTCCGTTTTTGAAAATATGATTGATGTCCGCAAGAAGATAGGGTAATTTGGAATTCAGCAGTGATGTTAACGAATAACGAGTTTCCATAGCCGAGGTATGATGCAGAGGTAGCTTTTTATTTATTGCCTGTTATTATTTATGGGAAGAGTGTTATGTGTGTATGTTGTTTTCAGCTCACTAGGACCACTAGCGGTTGGAGGTTCTTTGAACAACAAACCGGTGCTTGCTCAGCAATTACACACTACATAAATTAAGTTCACGATTATCTTATTAACACCATCGGCAAAATTCCATTCGCCATAACTACTTAAGGAGCAGATAGCACAGTGATAGTGATTTATGTCATCACGAGCGTGGTACTAGTTCGATTCCGCTGCAGGTCAATCAAGTCTCTCATCTTTCCGGGGCCGAAAAATTAGTAGCGCACTTGTCTAGGAAAAAATCACTCTCTGCAGTTCATTTGGGAACGCTCCAGCCCGGCTATCTCAGGACTCCAGAGGGAATGGCTCGACTAGCATTCTATGACATTCAGCATTAAATGGAAATCCTCAAGCAGCTACCGAATCCACACATAAAAGTTGGAAGAACTTCGTGGACAATGGATGCGAGGAAACAAACCGAAGGTGAGAAGCGCTGGGATCCGCACAGTGGAAGTGAATGCGGAACAAATAAAATAAAGTAAAAGAATAAAAAGTAACTACTTAAAGAGTGGGTTTAGTCTTTCCGAAACTACTTATCACCTTTAGTCACCTGTTGTAGTTGAGAAAATTGGAAATTGTTATAAAACACGTCAAATTTGCTCCCAGTTTCCTTAACGTACTCATTCGTTACTCATTCATCATCTTAAATACAAAGTTAGCCACATAACTAGGAAAAAGGGAAAAAAAGTTATGTGGTAGCGTTTTTGCTTTCTGCACTGGCTGAACAAAATTCACACAGAGCGCTATCGAAGCAACCGTAATCCAAAACAAACATCAAGATTTGAGGTGGTTTGAATTGTGAATGAACTCGAAAGTGGCACTTACGATCGCAACGAAATGCTTTTGTGAGTTTTATCCATATATAGCGACAAATTTCAATGAACTCCTTCCAAAAATGCTCGTTCTGCATGCGATTGTGTTGGCAGTTTTCATGGCCGGAAGGACGTCCATTCTCGGTTGCGGAATGGGCATGGGTACGTTCCTGTCTATATTTTAAAAAAAACAAGTAAATTAAAATTTTTTGGTGGTTTTACGTCTTATTCTATGATTCCACGTTGAAAACCGTCTATTTCTCTAAACTGTCTCGATGAATTCTAGGATACTAAATTTAACCCTGACAAAACCTTGTTCCTTTTCGGACCTAATTTTTTTGTTCGTGAATGTTTTTAGGCACTAGCAATTTACTGTTATCATATGCAGTGGATTTCCTACTAAACTGCTGCAGTCGGCCACGTTATGGCAATTATTGTCCATCGGTATCAAAATTTGGAATACTTCCTCTTCTATACCAGCCATATAGCCCTAATTTTAAAAATTGAAACCAGTCTCATAGCTGCAAACAAGTTTTGACTAATTTCTCCTGCTTTTGAGATCCTTCACTATTCTTTTCTGTATACATGTTTTTACGAACTGCCTTTTTAGCCCACGCGAGGTTGGTATAGATATTCTTATTGCTGCTGATGTCTTTGTTCAATGGCTGACGTTTCGGCCACTTTGCCTTCCTCAGAGCCTTGCCGTTCGACCACCCGTGTGCTGTTCACGAGAGATGATCATTACGAGACATAAACAAAGAAAGCAACAACAATAAGAACATTTATAACAAACTCGTAGCGGCTAAAAGAAAGCAGTTTGTAAGAAAATATAGGCAGATATTTTCATTCTCTTTCCTTCCTGCTATTTACTTGTTGAAGGTACACAAGTGATTTCCAGGCCTCGGCTGCGGTTTTGGTGGGATGGGCATGATTGGAGGAATTGGTGGACTTGGTGGATATGGTCTAGGAGGATATGGCTTTGGAATGGGCCCGGGCATGTACGGGTACGGCGGATACGGTGGGTACGGTGGGTATGGTGCGTACGGTGGATATGGTGCTTACGGCGGATATGGTGGATACGGTGGATATGGTGGATACGGTGAGCATTGAATTCGAGATGGTGAGAATTAAATATATCTAAACAGCAGCTGAACCTACCCCGAGATTTATCATCGATATTAGTGAAAATCTGAAGGGCATTTATTACAAGAATAATTTTTTTCAATATCCCTTATAATAAAACCTATTTTTTAAATCCACGTGTATTCCGCTAGAGTCATGTTCCAGAGAAACCACTCTGAAAAGGACAAAATTATATTCAGAAATTGTGAGCCGTTTATAACCCATAAAAGGCTTTTTTCGCTGGAAAGATTAAAACAATGCGGCCTTTCTGAGGAAGAAAGCTCAATAATCAAAGAATACCAAAAGTTCCTGCTTTTCACAGCCTTTAAAATTATTTGATCACCGCACGTCGAAATGCTTTAGATGGAAGGAAAGTGAGTTCAAATTGAGTCACAATCATCATACCAACTAGAACAACACAGTGTTGGCTTTCTTATTTACTGCTTACTAAAGGGAGCGTGTAGCGCAGTGCTTGGAGGCGCCACTGCAACACACCCGTGGAATCAATTTCCGCGCCTGTGGCCCACCAAGCCTCCCATCTTTCCAGAGTCGGAAAATTGGTACCAGACTTATCTTGGAGAATAGTAGCACTGGTTCGATACTTCCGTAGGCCACCGTGATTCATTATAAAGGCCAGATATGCATTCAGTAGCTTCCAACGACGCTTAATGAAGTTGAATGCATGGCGAATCCCTCAGGAATAGATCAACGCCGAGAGCTTTTCTTCACTAAAATTTTTCACGGCAGGATATTATGTTGGATACAACCACAATGATGCTGAAATATTTGCAAAACACCGAACCGCAGATGTCTACGGTGGTGATCGAGCATTATATTCTCCTTCAGGAAGGTAACGCGTTCACCACCACACCACGTGTTTTCTTTTTCAACAGGATATATATATATATATATAT